GAAACGCACGATGTCTCCCAGACGTCATTGTATGTCAAGGAATTAACAACGTGTTATGTATAACGATTAACACTCTACAACTAGAGTTTCGTTTACTTGCAGAAGGAAAATTATTTAAATTATAAGAATGTAAAATACGAAAGAAAATTGAGTACCAGTCACTTATAACTCGAGGGTTAATAGTTTCTCTTGCATTACACTGTAAAAGGGTTAATCCACGAGGATTTATCACGCAAGAAAGAATTATTTAAAAAGAGAAAGGAAGAATATATTGAACTAGCTAGAAGCACAAAAATCGTTGGCAATAATATTCAACTTAAAAGAGAGAAAAATGTAAAGTAAAAATAAAAGAAAGAGAAGCGATATTGAGTGGCAGAGATGAATCGTGCGGCGTCTGGTAATCGATATAGCGCGATGTGCATGTTCGCGTTCAATACGTACAGAGGACAACTTTATTGTACTTTATCGTGTAAGAGAGATTTGTAGAGAGTTTATATTAGGCCAATTGTCACAGCGAGAGCTCTACGATAGCAATGTGTATTTTTTTTTTCCTCCTCGACAGTCGTGGCCAACTATTCGAACACTATCTGCAAACTGCAAAAGAGAATATCTGCTTCGCGTTCGAACTACAATTTCAATTACAGTGGATCGGGAAAGTATTTACACACACGCGTACTGTGAAATATCTTCGTACACGTAGTATTTTTACTATAAACTGTGCATCATCCCCCGATATGTTCAGTTCCAACAGAGAAACATTTGTAGGACAAGCTTAATATGAATTTCGAGAATCTTCGATCAATAATGAAACATCAATTTAAGAAAATCACGCAATATCTTAATAATAAAAGACATTTGTTTTTAATCTTTTTAATCATTTTTAATCGTTCACGTTTACGTTTAATTTTTTTTTTTTTTTTATTATTCCAAGCTTCCAAGATATGTAAAAAAATTTTTACGTGATATTATACAATCAGTTTTTAACTTAGAACCTAGAAGTATAAAAATTCACCAGTAAAATTTTGACATAAGTATGTAACATGTAGTGTGTAAAGGTATTTCAAGAAAAAGAGAGTATGTTGATACTTTTTTGACCTACTGCATCTCGTCTTGTCTCTTTGCCCCTGCAGTTTTATCTTCGAAGCTTATGGTCAATCAACGCTCAATAATCGATGAGAAAAATCGAAGAAATATTTGTATGTTCCTGATGAACGAAAGCAAAGTGCTAAAAACGACGCAGCGACCTCGAACAGTCGAAATAGTTGGCCACAGCTACAGACACGAATGATCGTGTCGTGTTCCAGCGTAATACTCGCGTAACAATTGCCTTTATGAAGATGAATTAGCATTCGTACGATCGATAAGGGCATCAAACGATAATATGTATCAGTTCGCAGTGCAATTACGTAGGAATAAGTTTCTTTCGTTTTAAGGTACCTGTTCTTGGCCAAAGATAGATTAGTATTGACCCTGGAACTCCACAAGAGAGAAATTCTCAAAATTTTATTTATTGTTGGTAATCACTTACGTTTGGTAATCACTTACTATGCATGAGAAAAAAGAATTTATGTAAAGAAAACTCGAGGCTTCTAGGAGTTCTAGGGTTAATTAACCCTCTGTGGGCAAGCATAATATTAATCTACAAAGCTGAATCGTTCATAAGAAGCCCTTAGACGAAATGTATTAAGCATTACGA